AAAGTGGGAATTGGGGAATTAGGAATTGGGAAATTTGGAATTGGGAAATTTGGAATTGGGAAATTTGGAATTGGAAAATTGGGAATTGGGGAAAGTGGGAATTGGAAAATTAGAAATTGTGAAACCACCTATTAGGAAATTAGGAACTGGAAAATTAGAAATTGTGAAACCACCTATTAGGAAATTAGGAACTGAAAATTTAGTAACTTCGAGGCCCAGGAATTAGTAATTTAGTAACCTTCACACATCACTAAAATGACTCTATCAAACAAAATATGACACCCATAACTCACTAAAGAATGCAACGACGTATTCGTGCTCCTCGATAAGATCGGTCAAAATTTCATCAGTGACCTCTTCAATGGTGGCAGTGTTCTTCTGTTCGATGAGCCATTCAAGAACCTCGTCCTCGTTCAACAGATCCCCTTCGTATATAGCCGGAATCTTGTTCTCGAAATAGACCAAAGTGGGCAGATGATCGATACCGTACTCCTTCGCCTCTGCATCGTTGTCCATTCGTATGATGACGATACCTTCCTTCTCCAACTCGTCATCGATGTTCTCTAACTCGTTCAGGATGCGTATGTCCTGCTTGTCATCCTTGTCGTCTACGAAAAGGAATCAATTCGTGTCTCGTTTTCGCTCAAGATCGACCAACAGCACCTACCTAACCGGTAATAGTGGAAGAATGTTAAAAGGAGGTAGAAAGACGAATCGATCGCTTACAAAACAGGACTGCCAAGTATGGTGACGTTTCTATCAGCTTCTCCATCATCTCGTCTGTCACTTCCGGTATCTCTGTGTGCTTCTTCTGATGCAGGAGCCAACCCAGCAGCTGATCCTCGTTCATCAGATCGCCTGAAATGATATTTAATTTTAATATTCTTTGTTATTTTTGTATGTGTTCATGTGTGACTTGAGGATATGTGATATCAACTGCATATAACCTTGATTGAATATGACTGAGGTTAGGTTAGGTTACGTTATGTTATTGTCTTTGTACATTCTCATGTGTGACATATGGATATGTTGATACCAACTGCGTATGACCTTGATTGAATATGACTAAGGTTAGGTTATGTTATGTTATTGTCTTTGTACATTCTCATGTGTGACATATGGATATGTTGATACCAACTGCATATGACCATGATTGAATATGACTGAAGTTAGGTTACGTTAGGTAATTGTCTTTGTATATTCTCATGTGTGACATATGGATATGTTGATACCAATTGTATATGACCTTGATTGAATATGACTAAGGTTAGGTTAAGTTATTGTCTTTGTATGCTTTCATATGTGACATATGGATGTATTGATACCAACTACATATGACCTTGATGGAATATGACTGAGGTTACGTTAGGTTAGGTTATTGTTTTTGTACGTTTTCATATAGTTTGGCATAACTGAGGTTATCCAACAAAAAAATAATTTTGGTATGTGAAGTATACCTTCGTAAACATGTGGTATCCTTCTCTCGAAGAGTACCAGTGTCGGTAATTGCTCGATGCCATACTCCTTCGCCTCATCAAGGTCATGGATCTTCACGAATGCTATGTTGTGCTGATCACAGTCGTCGTCGATGTTCTCCAGTTCGCCGAGGACCTTCTGACTCTTCTTCTGATCCTTGTCGTCTGTCAAATGATAAACATAATTAATTATTTAACGTAATGGTAATGTTAAACAATTTCAAGTTGTTGAATACATTGGAGTTTATCATATGAACGTCTCTAGATAAATCGTCCATTTTATTTCAGCTTCTAGAGTGATTCTCAAACCTATGTTTAAACACGCACTTAAAAATTGAACAACTGTATGGAACATAAATTTAATATTTATTTTAGTATGGACACTAAATTTTAAACTTGAAGTTTAATGTCAATGAATGAATTTTAATTCCAAAGTGCATGTTTAATATAATTTAGATTGTAAGCTTAATATACTCCATAATGTAAATTCAAACTTAAAAAATTCCACAGCATAAAATTTGTAGGTTCTAGTATGTCAGTGTAATAGCTTCCAGAACTCGACAAATCTTACACTGTAAATTCAACAAATTCCAAAATGTAAATTCAACAAGTTCCAGAACACATGTTTAACAAATCACTCCAGACATAAAACCACCTAAATATAAAATCCGATATAAACATAATAAACGATGTGAACTTATGTATGCTTATTCCTACGAATGAATAAGAATTCATACGATATTCTCCGATGAACAAAAATGAAAATTGAAGTAATAAATAAATTAATCACTGACAAAAGAGGACAGCTACATGTGGCATCTTCTCAATGATCATATCTAGCACTTCGTCGGTGATGTCCTCTATATGATCGCTCTTCTGTTGCATTTCCAACCACTTCAGAACCTTGTCTTCGTCTTCCAGATTCCCCTCGTACAACGTTGGTATTCCATTCTCGAAGTACAACATGGTGGGTAACTTCTCGATGCCGTACTCCTTCGCTTCCTCCGGGTTGTCGATCTTCACGAAGGTCACTCCCATTTGATCGCACTCGTCGTCGATGTTCTCCAGTTCGTTGAGAATCTTCTGGGACTTCCGATCGTTGTTGTCGTCTGACAATTCACAATTATTTATTAATAGTTACAATAGTTACTTGATAATTTTGTAGAAAACTTATTAGAAGCTGTGTTGAGGTACTGTGGTTTGGAGTTGTGAGGATCTTGGGAGAGCTGGGACTTGGGATTCTAGGGATTTGGAGTAATAGGAATTTGGACCTATGAGGATTTTGGGAAAGCTTATATAAAATCTTACAAAACAGCACGGCAAGGGTCTTCCCATCCTTAATCAATTTATCCAACATTTCGTCGGTGATGTCCTCGATTTCGTCCTTCTCCAACTGCGACAGCAGCCATTCCAGAATTTCCTCCTCGTTTTCAAGGTCACCTGCGCAAAGACACTCTCGTTGTACAATTATTTCTGATCATTCCTCATCATCTTTTTTCCCCTACTCGACCCACCTACCCACCATCGTAAACATTAGGTATTTGCTTTTCGAAATAAACGATCGCAGGCACAGAATCGATTCCGAAATCCTTGGCCGCCTTCTCGTCGTCGATTTTAACGAACTGTATTCCGTGCCTGTCGCAGTCGTCGTCGATTTTCTCCAGCTCGGTCAGCGCCTGCATCGAATCCTCGTCACCGTGGTCGTCTGGAGCATTCGTAGATAAATAGTAAATGAATCACGGGATGGTTAGTGGATAGGTTAGTGGAATACCCACAGAAAAGAACGACCAGGTTATCGATGTTTCCGATGAGGGTCTGCAAGGTTTTCGCGGTGACGTCCTCGATCACGTCTTCTTCGTCTCCTGTGCTTTTGTTCGCTACTAGCCATTCTAGGACGTCCTCTTCTCTGTTTAGTTCATCTGTGATGTATAATTTTAGTGATATATTTAAGTGACGATGGATATTATGTTCAAAGTACAACTTATTATAAAGTAACTTAATATTGACTGATCTAATAGTGCTACAATTCATAATACCTAGCCTAACAATACCTAATATAATCAAAATCTAGTCTAACAATACTTAATCTAATTGTAACAAGCCTGACAATACATAACTTAATAATATTTATCTAATAGAGCCTAACGAAATGGCAGTTACCCTAATAACATCAAACTTGATGTCACTTATCTTAATAGTACGTAACATAAAAATATTGATTCTAATAGTGCCTAACCTAACAACACTAGTCCTAATAGCACCTAACCTCATAATACTTCTCCTAATAGTACTTAACCTAATGATACTTGTCTTAATAGTACCTAACCTCATAATATTTGTCTTAATAGTACCTAACCTCATAATACTTGTCCTAATAGTATCTAACCTCATGATACTTGTCTTAATAGTACCTAACCTCATAATACTCCTTCTAATAGAACCTAACCTCATGATACTTGTCGTAATAGTACCTAACCTCATGATACTTGTCCTAATAGTCCCTAACCTCATGATACTTGTCTGAATAGTACCTAACCTCATAACACTTATCCTAATAGTACCTAACTTCGTGATATTTGCCCTAATAGCACCTAACCTCATGATATTTGCCCTAATAGTACCCAACCTTATGATACTTGTCCTAATAGTACCTAACATCATGATACTTGTCTTAATAGTACCTAACCTCATAATACTCCTTCTAATAGTACCTAACCTCATGATACTTGTCGTAATAGTACCTAACCTCATGATACTTGTCTTAATAGTACCTAACCTCATAATATTCCTTCTAATAGAACCTAACCTCATGATACTTGTCCTAATAGTACCTAACCTCATGATACTTGTCTGAATAGTACCTAACCTCATAACACTTATCCTAATAGTACCTAACTTCGTGATATTTGCCCTAATAGCACCTAACCTCATGATATTTGCCCTAATAGTACCCAACCTTATGATACTTGTCCTAATAGTACCTAACCTCATAATACTTATCTTAATAGTACCTAACCTCATAATACTTGTCCTAATAGTACCTAACCTCATGATATTTGCCCTAATAGTACCTAACCTCATGATACTTGTCCTAATAGTATCTAACCTCATGATATTTGCCCTAATAGTACCTAACCTCATAATACTTGTCTTAATAGTACCTAACCTCTAAATACATAACATAATAACCTATAACCAAATAAAACTTAACATCTATTTAAAATATATCAAATCCACTAATATTATCAACCTAATCTAACCTAACCTAACTACACAAACTTAATAAAAACTAACCTACAAACAAATACCATGTTAAAAATAACTATCATATGAATATCAAATCAGCAGATTAACTAAATAATTTTCATCTCAACAACCAGAAAGACTTACGCTCATAAATTATAGGAATCTGGTGCCTATAGTAGACCAGAACCGGAAGTGGGCCTAGATTATACTCATCGGCAAGCTCCTCGTCCGCGATTTTCACGAAGCCGATACCTAGTTGGTCGGCTTCGTCGTCGATGTTCTCCAATTCCTGAAGGGCCTTCAGACACTTTTTGCAGTCAGGCTTGTCTGTCCCATTTGAAATAAAAAGCAGCGTTATCGGGACGTCGGAGTTTTACGTTAATACCGGAAAGTCTAATAGGGCTAGGGACAAAATAGGGTTAAAGGCTTCATTCGGTCATAAAAACAAATCTATCTAAAATTTTTTTTTAAATCAAGATAAAATATTTCACAAATTGTTTTCATCAAATCTCAAAAATTTTACTGACTCTTGTACTAATGTTGAGAGCATGTAGAATAATTTTTAATTTGAACAATTTTTAACTTGAATAATTTTTAATTTATGTCGAATATTTTTTTGAATATCAAGAGGAAGGATATATCAGATTAGTATGCAAAATTTCTCTCTTTGTCAGTCATGATGCACATTCATTCTATTCTAAGGGGCGACAGGGGTGTACACAATAATGCATATTCTAACATCTACATAATAATTGTTTCCCAATGCACAAGCATTCGTCGCGTGATTTTTCAATGTGAAGAGACATCGATTCATTGTTCCATTGTTATTAATTAGACTCTTCTCGTTTCATCCATTTTTCCCCTCCGGATCCCGAATTCCTCTATTACCGTAGGCGAAAATAGAATAGTGCTGCAAGCAATGCAACTCGAACGTCAACGTGAAACAGGCAGTAAGTAATTAATTATCGATTCGGTTACGTAAGTGTATCGGTGGGTTAAAGTACGTATATGGAAAATACAGTCATCGATGCATGGATCGGTTTGATACTTTGATGAACCATGACGTAAGACTTTAATTATATTATTCACTTTTACTGTAAAAATGTGAAACATTTTACATTATAGGCAATTTATACAATCTTTATTTAATTAATACTTTATTTATTCAAACTTGAATAATTGTAAATTTTGTACTGAGTGCAAAAAACAATGTGAATGGTCCTCAAAGAGTTAAGAAATAAAATTTAAATTTGTGCTCGAAGTGCAATAAATTTGGAGACAATTAAATATTTAAGGGTGGTTTTATTTCGTTCGAGTCGAAATTATTGAAAAAATCAATGCATCGTATGAAGTATAGGTGTAAAAGCATAGGAAACGAAAGCTGTACAGCATTTTAGAACATTGATTTCATTGAAGTGTGTACTTACTAGAACCGGCACCAGCACACCGTTGAGTGTCCGGACCTATTCATACCAACACACACAAGAACGTTTCACATATATGTATTATGTACAAGTATGTTTGTACGTGATCGAATCGCAAAATGGAAACGATAGTTTCTATATTATATGTGCGTATATTGTTCCATGATTGTGGAACGTGAACAATGTTTTTTAACCGAGTCATTTTGCGATACGTTAATCGTTCCACAACAGAGACAACGACAAATTTTCGCAGACAATGGAAACGAGACAAGAGGATCGACAGGACTCGGTGAGAGGATGGCGAGACGTTCACGACGCTCTTTGCACGAAGAACAATTTTTTAGTACACGTTTCGAATATATGGTAGGTATAAGATTTTGATAATTGAAAAATTGGGTAATTGGGAAAATAGGTACTTGGGTAAAATAGAAAATTTAAAATTGAAAAATTGAAGAATTGAAAAATTGAAGAATTGAAAAATGGAAGAATTGAAAAATTGAGGAATTGAGGAATTGAAGAATTGAAGAATTGAAGAATTGAGGAATTGAAGAATTGAGAGATTGAAAGATTGAAAAATTGAAAAATTGAGAAATTGAAAGATTGAAAAATTAAGAGATTGAAAAATTGAGAGATTGAAAAATTGAGAGATTGAAAAATTGAGAGATTGAAAAATTGAGAGATTGAAAAATTGAGAGATTGAAAGATTGAGAAATTGAAAGATTGAGAAATTGAAAGATTGAGGAATTGAAAGATTGAGAAATTGAAAGATCGAGAAATTGAAAGATCGAGAAATTGAAAGATCGAAAAATTGAAAAATTGAAAAATTGAAAAATTGAAAAATTGAAAAATTGAAAAATTGAAAAATTGAAAAATTGAAAAATTGAAAAATTGAAAAATTGAAAAATTGAAAGATAGAAAAACTGAAAAATTGAAAAATTAAAAAACTGAAAAATTGAAAAATTGAAAAATTGAAAAATTGAAAAACTGAAGAACTGAAAAATTGAAAAGTTATTAAGAAATTGGGAAAAAGTTAAACTTGGGAGAAGTAGATAAATAGCTTCTCCAATAATTATTTATATAGAAAGTAAATAATTGAAAAAATTGTTCTTCGCAATGAAAGTTAAACAGAGCGTTAAAAGGCGGTAATGCGATACGTCGATGACATTCGATAACGTCGTGAAATATTCACAAAATCCACTGAAACCAACTTCAATATCTCGATTGAGTCCGTATCGTTAATATCAGTGAAAATAAAACCAAAGAAACCGCTTGAAACTAATGAAACTGTGTTAATGCAACCGAGTCTCATAGCTTCTTTGCTGTGAAAGCTTTGTTAATCTTTTATGTACAATGTGAGACGTATTAGTTGAGGCAACAAAATAATAAGAAAAATATTGTGTGCTATGTACACGAATCCGTACATGATGATTCAACGTACTCGGTCCTATATATACATGATAAATAATTCGTTCAAAATTTTACCGCCATTGGACAAATCACCGATACCTCAAAATTTATTATTTTTTAAAATTCATATCGGATGAAATTACGAGTGTTTTTTAACTAAAAATATATCGATATTTTATCGTACATCAACGTGTCAATTTTGTCCCTTTTTATCCATTCAACGTTTTCCTTTTTGGTGTTATATTCTCTTTTATAATCTTCCGGATGAAAGTGAATCTGGCTCGGGGTAATAGAGAGATATGATTCTGATTAAAAATTGCACCGGTTTGGGAGGGTGTAAGAACTCACAGAAAAGGACAGCAACGAACTCCGTATCCTCGACAATTTTTTCCAGGATCTTCGAGTTCACTTCTTCGATACGATCCGGAAGATCCATCGCTTCTAGACTCGTCAAGAAGTCCAGGACATTTTCCTCGTCCATCAGGTCTCCTGAAATATGCAGAAAATAGTGACAAATACTTTATGAACTTTGTATACAATCTTTCTTAACATTAAGATTTAACATTTACTAACATTAACATTTCTTAACATTAAATCATCACTAACTCCATCATATGTATGTCTAATGACATAAATATATATTTTAATTAAAAATGAGATCACGATGTATGAACAGTAATAAAGTTAAACTAATAAATTAAATTAAATAAGTGTAAGTAGTGAATTAAGTTGAATAACAATTTTTAGACGAAATTACATAAATTAAACCAAATTTATAAAACAAAAAATTAATAATGCAGAATGTTTGGAAAGTGTGACAGCACCCCATGTTGTCCAACTTTCTTCCCCAATTAAAAACAGTATATTTAAAAGTTATCATATTTTTAATATCGTGAAGATCGTGCACGTGCATAGTGCGTGTTATCAAATGGTTCGATGCAGTTAATAATATATCTCTAATTGCGACTTCCTGTCGTTTCTGTTTACCACCCCGTCCAGACGAAAATAAACTTTGTTGCGGTACAGTTGCATCGGTACAATTGAAATAGATGCAATCTGTCGTTACATCATCGAACGAGAATCAGTGGAAATCGTTCCGGTTGGAAGCTAATTGCTAAGCTTTCTACCCCGATTTTGTAATTCGTTATGCACTTCAGTGAGAGATATTTCGTCCGTCGACTTAATAAATCCACAGAATCCGGTTGGCAAACGCAAGCAAAGCCTGATCACAATGTAACACGATTGATGATCACACCTGTACCTCGGTTCACTTCCGCGTTCGATGTCCAATTTCTGATCTTCTTTCGCGAACGATATGTAATCGATGAGATTAGTTAACTCGGTTTAAATTTATTCATTTTTATTAATTATATAGTTATTGATGAATTAATTGTATTTGGTAAATGAGTTTGTGAAGATGAAGTTGTAGAGTTTTTGTATGTTTGAAATTTTGGAAAATTTGAGGTTAATAAATTGGGAGCGGAGGCTCTTCTGAAATATCAAATTTCGGAATGTACGTTTGCCAAATTTTCAGTTTTCTATCCGTAAATTTTCAAGTCTTCGTATTTCAAAATCCTAAATTACTAACAAAAGTTTTTTGGGGGGAATTTGATTTAATTTGTGTGAATTTGGAAATTTGGGAAGTGAAGTAGGGAATTTGGGATTTTGAGAAATTCACAAATTTACAATATTCCAAATTTAATAGTTTACTTCCTAAGTTCCCCAAATTCCCAAATTCCTAAATTCTCAAATTCCCCAAATTCCAAATTTTCAAATTTCCAACCCTTCAAAATTTAATTTTGCAAATTGCCAAATTTTCAAATTTCCAACTCTCAAAATTTGGGTACTGAAAATTGCCAAATTCCCCAAATACCAAATTCTCCAATTCCCAAATTTCCAAATTCCCAAATTTCTAAATTCCCAAACTTCCCAACTCCCAAATTCCCAAATTCCCAAATTCCCAAATTTCCACCTCTCAAAATTTGGGTACTGAAAATTGCCAAATTCCCAAATTCCCAAATTTCTAAATTCCCAAATTCCCAAACTTTCCAACTCCCAAATTCTCAAATTCTCAAATTCCCAAAATCCAATTTACCAAATTCCCTAATTTAACTCCTAAATTCCCCCATTCCAAATCCCAAATTCCCAAAATCCATCACCCAAATAATCCCTCAAACCCTCCCCAATAATCCCAACTGTCCAAAATCTCCTCCAACAATCTCAGCTCTCCCCAAATAATTCCCCAAAATATCCCAAACATTTCCCCGTACCATAAGCCTCGAATCGAGTCATCAAACGATCGAGCCGCGTCGCGACGCGACAGTATCATATTGTAGCAAAACGATTCCGTCCCAAGCGAGTCGACGCGTCTCGATCTAAATGTAGAGAGGCAGCGGCTCAATGAAACCGTAAGATACGCTGCATCGCTTTCGTTACGTAACAACTGCATTCCTTGTACCCAATTAATTTCTCTTACACCACGTTTCTCTTGGACCACGTGCCGCTGGTCGAAAGGGAAATCGTCCGCCACGCGAAGCGGGTGTACATTCTTCTTTCCCTAATGAACGAGGGTGGATATGTCGAACAAAAGTCGAGCACACGACGGTTCCTGTTTTACAGGCTAACCTCACGAAATACCAACGGCTGGGACGATTGCCAGATCGCGAAGGTGGTCAGACACTGTTCTCGACTCTACTGAAATTTGCTTTCATGCCGATTAACGAGATGCCTTTGTGAGGGTCGTTTTATCGTCATTCAGGTGAGATGGTTCTTTAGAGGATTTACAAATTTGTTCTTTTATAAATTTAATGCGATGTAACATTTTGTTTGTTTAAGGTTTTGATTTGTTTTTTGATGTATAAGGATTAGAATCTGCCAACTTGTCAGACGTGTTGTGTTGATAAAGTAGATTTTAGTATTTATATTAAAAGAAAAGAAGAGACTTATTGATTTATTTATATGATTCGTTGGAAATGTAGTTTCTATTTTATCAACTGCTTTCACTGATCTAATAATGAGGAATTTTATAAATTTTGAGACTATGATGTTTGTGTGAGCTGTTAAGTATTTTGTTAATTTAAATATTTTAATATTTAGACAATTTTGTATGTAAATTCTCTGTACAGATAGTTTGGGTACTTTAAATATTTGAGTACTATGAATATTTGACTAGCATAGACCTTTGAATGCACTGAATAATCGAAGATATTAAATAAGTGGGTTTTCGAGCATTTGAATTTCGCGCCAAAGGTGAGAGCGTTCGAATTTGCGCGCCGAATAGCGTAGCACTCTTTCCGCGTTAAAAATTAGAATACTCCGTCACTTCAGTGCCTTAAAGTGTTTAAATTATCCTACATATTCCATCTAATTCGAGTAAACAAAACCTAAATCCAAACTTTCTTAATAACCAAATATCCAACTACCCAATATTCAAATTTCCGCGCCAAATTGTCGAAATTTAATTTGAGTCCACCAGAATACTAATTAAACGATGAGTAATCCCTAAAATTGAGTCTGACAAAGTACATTTCCTCGAAATTAGTCGATATTCGTCTTAAAAGAAGAAATAAAACGTGAAGAACGAAGGTAAAAAGAACATGGCTGACCATACAAAGATAATTCTACTGAAACCTAGAAAAATTAGTAAACGAGGAAAATTCGAGAATACCAACGATTGTTTCGTGGATTCTGGGTCAAGTACTATAGCTCGGTGAGTCTCGAACCTTGTTTCTCATACCTGGCAAGGTTACCGAGATCGCGGCCGGATTCCAATAAAAGTTTGGCGAACTTTCAGCCATTAGGAATCATTACTATTCGCTTTTGTTCGTCATGCGAATGAACACGCGTTGTTGACTGACGGAAAAATCATCGGCTTTTTCCGAACGGCGTTATATTTACCTTCGTATATGATCGGTTCTTTCTCACGGAAATACGTGAGGGCTGGGAAGGTTCTGATGCCATATTGCTTGGCCAGTCGTTTGTCGTTGATCTTCACGAAGTCGACACCGAAATGATCCGTGTCGTCGTCGATCTTCTCCAGTTCGGCCAATACTTTGTCGCATGTTATACAACTTCTCGCATCTGTAAAATTATTTCATTTTATTATTTTAAATATTTATGGTAGATTTTATGTATCGTGAGATTTTATGTAACTCTGCTTAGAATTTAATACAATACGACTCCTTTTCACTCAGTTATTATTTCATTATTAGAGAATTATTGTAAGAATTTTTATAATAAAATTATGTTAAAATTATGTTCGAAGACTGACATAAAATTTATTTTCTTTGGTGTTGCATTTTACATGAAAATAATTATGATATTTCTAAATTAGTGGTGGAAGTTGATTCTGCTTTATATTATACTGAATATTTATATTTATTTGTGACAATTTTCTAATAAATTTAAAATGTGTGAAAACTGATAATATTTAACAAGAATAGGTTAGGTTATGTCAGATGAGGTTATGTTACTCTATGTAACATAACTACTGCAAACATATAAGTAATTATCTGTACAGTTCCATAAGAAGGATTTGAACAAAGTAGTGACAAAGTAGTTTTGAGGTTAGACGAGAGGTTAAGTTAGGTTAGGTTAATTTGAGGTAGGTAGATAGAATAGTACAAGGTAACGATAGGTTAGGTATAATTTTGTTAATGTACATTTATAATGAAAACATAGAATTATTATCCCAACAAAAATTTCATTAATAAAGTTGTAAAAATTTACAAAGTTAAGTAGAATTAGACTGATGTTGGGTTAAGTTAGGTTATCCAGAAAACTTCATTAATATAATACTATAATGATGACGTCTGAAATAATTGTGACAGCATCTAGAATTTTATAAGAAACAATTGAAAGTTGATAAGAACGTTTGACAAGACAGATAACAGGTTAAGTTAGGTACTCTGAAAGATTTATTAAAATTTATTACAAAACAGTAACTCATAAAATTTCACAAGGAAACTAAATCTATTAGAAACATAACATCTATTAGAAACGATTTATACTCAAGATGATTGAGACAAGAAACCGAATAAATTTCAGTATTATTTGCTCGAAAAGCAGAAAATTCGACAAGAAGTCGAGACAAAACGTTTGGCAAGAAGTTATAACCGAGGTTAACGATTTCCCAGCGATGGTGGGGTCCTTCATGTCGGCCTTGCGTCACGTTACAAGGAAAGCTAATCCTTCGCGGACGAGTTTTACGCTTATCGTCGGTGGCTTGGCAGTTTCGAGCGTTCTTGGCCAGCTCGGTTGGTTCCGCTCGCTATTGCAGCTGCGCGGGTGTTGGGTTACAATCATTGGATATGGGCAGCAAGGTGTTTCTCTGCCGTTTCTCCATCGATACCCGTCCATTTTCCCTCGTCACAAGCAACCATCGGTCACGATAGAACAGGAGGAAATACACGCGCTTTTTCGAGCGTACGAAAACGAACAAACAGGTGGACGTCGCCATTTTTGGTCGCCACTTCCTCAGAATAGCGTCACAAAGACTGACTCACGCTCTTTCTCTTTCGCTGCGGTTGCTTCGTTCGGATACTTGATTCGATTCTATTTTTGCGAACCTACCGGTGCTGCTCTCTTTTTTGCTTCTTTTTTTCTTTTACTTTCGAGCAAAATTATTATTGTTTACGGGTCTGCCCTCGTTGTTGGCCACTCTTTATTATTACCTTGACTCCGCGTCGCTTATTTTCGTTGTCGTACATTTTACTACGCGTATATTTTGTATTCCTTCGTAACGCACGGTTCAACACTTGGTTTCACACCCTCGCACCAAGTCTGGCAGAGTGTACCGCCCGCGGGCAGCGAAAGGGCAGGAGGCGCAGAAACGAGTTGTTGAAAAACGTGTGCCAGTTAAATTGGATCAACTCCACACGCTGCTTTAATGGTGGAAAGCGGGGAGAAATTCTGCACGAGGATTTTCTTCTTACTTGCATTCAGTTTAATTACTTATTTCTATTAGGATATTTTTCAATTTTATCTGTAGCTGTTTATGTGAACTCATGTACTAGTTTACCTAGTATAATCACACTAACTTTATAATTTATATTTATTTATAGTTGTTGTAATTTATAATTATGGCAAGTTGTGAATTTAATTGTAAGCTTATTATTGTTACACTCATTTTTATTAATAATCTGTTATTAATATGCATGAGAATTTATATTAACAGTTAGTATAATTTCATCCATTTCTCATGTAAGGCTGTAATCACTGTTTGATATATCACAAGTCAATGTTGGGGTCACTCGAATGACCTTCAAGCTATAAATTTAAAATAAAATGAGGATGTTCAAAATGATGAACAGGTTTTTGATTTAAATACAAGTATATTAGAAAACTTTTTTTTATGAACCTTTCTTAGACATGTATTTACATATTTGTATTTATATTTACATTTATGTATATACTTTTATATATTTTCCGTATTGTATCTCTTTATTTTTTCATGTATATTTTTATTGTATTTTTCTATAATATTTTTCTATATATTTTTATGTACATTTCAATGTATATATCTATGTTTATATGCACATATATTTGTATATATATTTGTACATATATTACTATGTATATTTCTATGTACTTTTTTATGTATGTGTATTTGTATATAAATTTTCATTTACTCTCATATATACAAATTAAAATATTTATTCAGATAACTCCCACCTATAAAACACAAAGAGGAAAGTCGGTCACATAACCTAAAAAAAAAAGCATGATGTCCGATGGAATTTATTTTCTAAAAGAAAGAATTGGTTTATGGTGGACAGATTTTTGACCGAGATCTACCCGTTGAAGCAAAGAGACTCGCAAACAAATATAAATAGAACGACACAAAACAATTCTATTTTTATTTCCTATCGTGACCACCCACTTGTTCCACTCCTAAACGGATCGTCGGATCGGGAACGAGAGAAATAAGCGATACGGTAAATCTCGATTTCACGTTCAGCCTATCGATCATCGTAGTCGTTCATGAATCATTCTGTTTCTACCCTTTGAAATTCGACGATTAATTTCGTTCGACTGACTTCGGTAATTGGAACCTTCGTCTGTTGTAATGCCAAGCAGTTTTCGGTTCTTCTCGAGATTCGAAAACTGAACCATTCATCATTCAAATTTAACATCAAGGAAGTAACTAAACAAACAGAATTGTACAGCAATACATTATTAAATGTAGTGAAGAGAAGCTGTTTATTGGAGCAGATATATATTTGAAACTTTATGAAGGTAAATTTAATGAACTTAAGATGCTGTACATACAGTGCACTTTTTATATTGTCATTTTTATACGGTCATTGCTACTGAGAGATTTTATATTACCACGTGTTACATTGCCACTATTACAGTATTTTTTGATAATTACTAGCTAAGATTTAAAGAAAAGTTATTATACTAATTTGCATTTTTAGTGCTCGATGAGATAAATATCCTAAGCTATACAAACAACCCTTCTAAACAATCTTAAAAATATATCTAAATATATCTAACTATTTCCAAAAATAAAAGAACTTCTCTACTCTGCTACAAATCTGAACTAGAAGATTTGAATCTCTCACAAAATTCGAATCAAGCAACTCTTCCTTCTGAACCAATTTACACCCCTTCGATAACGAGCCTCTCAATGAACATACATCTCGTCCATCAACTTGAAATCCATCAGTCAACAGTTCGATCGACAACTTCACCAACCTTTCCAACAGAAGCATGTCAATTTAGCTAACCAGGCCGAGAAAACATCGCCTCGACATCAGTGACCAAGAATATCCATTACCGTTGCTTGTGGTATCTTAGCTGGATATCATCGATATAATAGGTGAATCAACCTTTCTTCGAGATTTCAAGGTGGCTGAATCGAGGCACTTGGAACGTTAGAGCAACGTAAGAGCAACGCAGAGAACGCTGTGTGCGCGCGGGCAGAGAAGACAGACCGCGAGAGGAACAGAGACGAAGAGATCGAACGACGGCCAGTGCCTAGTTTACGAGCCACTAAAAATACGAGAACCAACGGCCTCGCTGGTTTCATGTACAGTCGGGTGCATGGTAGGCCTGACTAGGGAAAATGGCGACGTTGAGGGAAGAGATCGTTTGTTTTTGGTGGAGAGGTTGGGGATTTATGAAGTTCTGTGGTTGGGTATTTGGGGATTGGAGGATTTGGAGGATTTGGGGGATGTTTAGGGATTTGGAGATTTGAGGATTTGGGAGTTGGGGAGTTGGGGATTTGAGAAATTGGAGAATTGGTAGTTGGGGAGTTCGTAAGTTGGGAAGTTGGGGATTCGGGAAGTTTGAGAGTTGGGGAGTTGAAGAGTTGGTGATTTGGAGATTTAGTTGGGAAGTTGGGAAGTTGGGGAGTTGGGAAGATGGGAAGTTGGGGAGTTAGGAAGGTGGGAAGTTGGGAAGTTGGGAAGGTGGGAAGTTGGGGAGTTGGGTAGTTGGAGATTGGGGAGTTCGGAAGTTGGGGATTTGGGAAGTTGGAGAGTTGGAGAGTTGGGGAGTTGAAGAGTTGGTGATTTGGAGATTTAGGAGTTGGGAAGGTGGGAAGCTCGGGAGTTGGGAAGGTGGGAAGTTGGGAAGTTGGGAAGGTGGGAAGTTGGGGAGTTGGGGAGCTGGGAAGTTGGAGATTGGGGAGTTGGGAAGGTGGGAAGTTGGGGAGTTGGAAAGTTGGAGATTGGGGAGTTGGGAAGGTGGGAAATTGGGGAGTTGGGAAGTTGGTAAGGTAGGAAGTAGGGGAGTTGGGAAGATGGGAAGTTGGGAAATCGAGAAGTTGGAAATTTGGGGCTTTAAAGATTTAGAAGATTTTAGAAAACGTCTGAAGACTATGTAGTACTTTCTTGCGGATAAACTTGATTGCAAATTTCAAGGTAATTTTTTATCATTTATCAAACTTCTGAAGAATATGTAGTACTTTCGTGTGGGTAAACTTGATTGCAAATTTCAAGCTGATCTTTTATTATTTGTCTAACTACTAAAGAATAAATTCATCTTATTATGTCATCATTACTTGACATCAACATATCACATCAGTGTTTAATTTCTTATCTATTAATGATTGTAAACTCACTATTTATGTTTCA